ATGATAGAGACAGCTGAAGACAGAGAGAGGGGATGACACGCTGCAAAGGGCCGCTGCAGCAAGGACTCGCCAGCTCTACCCACTGAGCTAACCGGGCGCCCTAGTCAACAGAATATCTAATTAACATGCAATAAAATAGTTCAGACAAAATGCAATCAGTCTGAGATGCAAAAACATGTATAATTTTCGAAAATGATCTAAACTAAACTCACAACAATAAGCATAGGTTGATGTTTCATCGCAAGCACGTCATGTTTATTTGTGCACATGTGTGAGAGGTAACAACACCTACAGCAGCCCTGGCTTATGTCCTGGCTCCTGACAGATAAAAGACATACATATACACACCCTGCTGTCATTGTCACTTTCACTTCCAGTGTGCACAAGTAAAAAAAGCACATGCTGCAGTATATCAGCAATGTCAGACTGAATGTAGTTTGTGCTGTCCCACTAAGCTCGGCTGGAGAAAAACTGTCTTCCATATTGCCATAGAATGACTCGCACCCACACAGTTCTTTTTAACATAATGTCAAGTCAGGATAAATATTTTATGGATGAAAATAATACAGTACGAAACACTTCGAAGAACCCTGTGCTGCAATGCCCATCTCATTTTTCCAGTTCAGGGCTCTGTCTTGAGAAAGAAAGATTATTTTGCCCTTGATGTTGACATTTCTCCGTCTTTATCTGCCATCTGTGACTTGACTGGGATGCTTAGGTCAGAGACAGCGACTGGGGCTTACCATGTAATGTCGTGATCAATGTATTTGTCTTCAAAGGATCCAGCCTTCCTGCTCCCACCCCGTGCTCCCCTCATTTCACGCATCATTTTGCCATCATTCAGTCGTCCCATTTGATCTTTCTCTCTGTGCCTCTTTCTTTCTCTGCCTGTCTCTCTCTCAGCAACCTTCTCCCCTCTCTCTATCTGTCTCTCTCTCTCATGCAGCACTATTTACAGCGTAGAAATGTCTAAAATTGCCTGCCACTACTTATTATAAGATGCATTCGTCAAGGGCATGGATTAGTGTCTGGCTCTGACAGCCCCAGTGCATCTTGGGAAAGTGGGAGAGGAGAGGAGACTTGGAGGGGAAGGAGAGGAGAGCAGGAAAAGATGAAGGGAGGGTTTGAGCCCCATGTGTCCCTGCGTTGTGCGATGGTGTGAGGTGTTAAGCGGTGGCTTATTCAGAATAACCTTGGTGGCGTGCTGCATTAGTGACATCACAGGCTCCGTCGCACTGCATTGACCAACGTCACAGCTGCTGCAGCAAGACTAGGCTGATATGCATCCCTTGTTCTCTTTCTCTTCCTTTCTTTTACCGCTCTCCCTCTTGTCTTTTCATTCCCTCCCTAACTCCTGCTTGTTTATTGTCCCAGTCTGTCTGTTATTTTCTCTCACTTTTAACTTCCTCTCCTATTTATTTCCTTTTTTTTTCATCTGGGGCTGCAGCTGTAGCTATGCTGTAACATCACAGCTTTCCCCTCAGAATGATAGTCATGGTGAAAAGCACTTCTACATAATGAAACACAGGCATCACAAGCTGATGTGGTGCAGCTTTTCCTCTCTCTTTTATATCATTCCCATTCTTGGCCCCTCTTTACATCACCTTCCTTGTCTTGTAGTTCCCTGGCTAGGCACTGTTTCTCCTTCATCTTCCCTTCATTCCTTTTCCTTTCTCTCCATCTTGGACCTCACACTGATACTCAGCTGCTTGGCAGTTGATCCCTTTGGCTTGGTGGGAGAGGTTAAGAGAGCGTCTGTGGCTGCTTCGCCATGCACCACCATATACCTTCCTATCTCCCCTTGTTCCTTCTTTCATCTGAGAGATCACTGCTCTCTCATTGCGCCCACCCCCCACCCCCCTTTGCTCACTCCACCTTGATCTGAAGGCTTTACTAAAGCAGCTCCTTAAGACCCCTTTGACAGGGTACAGTTACAAAGGGTCTGCTATATCTAGAGTGCAGTTTGTCATCATGATTTACAAGAAACATATGATCTTCTGAATCACTAACACTACTGCCCATGGTTTACCATGCCAGCTCATGTCCTGGATGCCATCAGGAACACACATACAGCAAACATATACAACCTGCCTCATAAAGATTACTCATCACCCTGTGCCTCCTTTGCCAATCCCGTCTATCCCCACTCCTGAGCCTGTGTTCAATGTGATGTCCTAAATGTCAGTCAAACTCTCCGTGCCTTTCAGCACCTATGGCAGCTGTCAGCTGCTCATCAAGGCCATGTCTCTCCCTGGCAACTAACTGTAATCAAGCCACCTAATAATCATCTTCATCATTGCCCCCTTAATACAAACATTATTTTGCCAGCACGACACATGGCATAAAGCATCTGCTCATTCTGTATACTTGTGGAGATAGCGGGGAGCTATCTGAATCAAGTGTAGCACTGACATAATGTGTCTGTATCAGCAAGGAGCCTATTTGTGTTTTTAATTGAGGGACATTTAAACCGTTATATAGAAAGGGCAAACAGATGGCACATAGGGTTACATGAATACCCCCTGCTCATGTCTGTGTATATGTATGTGTTTTTGTTTTGTTTATACAGTCACCATGCTATGATACTAGACTGCTGGCGACAGCTCAGTATAGCAACTCTGCATCTCATCTGCCATGTTGTTCCCGACTCACATACCTCTGTGCAGGCACGCAAACATACGCGGACTAGAGACAGACTCCCCTGTTGTCCCGGTAGTCTCCTGACAAATGATTCACCTTTGGTGTTTACTCTCTGAACAAACACATAAGCTAGTAGCTAGCCTTTCATCAGGAGATTAGCCACACTACCTTCTGTAATAGATCTCTGCACCATTTTCTTTCTTCGCTGGAATGTAGGAGAATCTCCAGTCCCTGAAAACCTCCAGACTCAGAGTCCGCATCCCCATTTTATCTTTTTTTTTACGAGATATTACAGACAGGGGCTTTGCTGCTTGCTAGGATATATATTTAGATTTCAACCACTTCACAGGCAGAAATTAAGTCTGGGATTGTGCAAGAGCCTGAAACTGTTCACTGAGCAGCTGTAAGTGATCACAGTATTTATGTTGTAGGAACCCACATATGCCAGCCTCCCACTGATAATGTGTACTGTAATAATTTGTGTGTGTTGGAGCAGGGAGGGTAGTGTCAGTGCAGGACTTATGGGCCCTCTAGGTAGATAGTGTGGCATCCCACTGACCCCGAGTTCAACTCCCTTTGGCATGTCTGTCAGCGTGGCTGTAGCAATGAAAGCTGGAGCCAAGTACTGTCAGGCTCTATGTAGAGGTTTAGACTGCAGGGGATGTATGTCAAAACCTTGAACGGAGCAGTTGTGACCAATGTAGACACCCAGATGATCCAAAGACAAATGTACTGTTAGCCTGAATGCAATGCATGATGATTTATTGTTAATGTGAACACCTGACAATAAGATGACTAAGGGACAAGGGGGCAGACAGGTCTTAATATGATCCATCCCATCACTGCCTCATTGCATCTTTTTGTTCCTATGCTTGTAATCCATCTATCCATTATAAACCTGCCTGCTGTCTGTGGCTCCAGTCCCCGTAGCATATTAAATAACATGCTGTCATAATGACATCCATGCACATGTGTGCAGATGTCACAGTGAGTCTAATCTAGCCTGCAATGTTTTATTCACCTGTTCACCTGGCATTGGAGTTACAACATGACTGTGTTTTTTTCCTGTGTTCTCCTGTAGAGCCAGGCAGAAGCCCATTACAAAGGAAACCGCCATGCCAGGAGAGTCAAAGGCATCGAGACCTCTAAGAGTCGTCCTCAGGAGGGGGACAAGCCTCATACCGTGCCCCCCACCTCCTCCCCATCCCCAGGAGCTCCTGGCAATGCAGACAGCGAGCCCAGCAAAGCGGGTGAGAAGGCAGAAAACACTAACATGAGTAGAAACAGAAAATGTGCTTGTGTGAGTTGTAGAAATAATCATTTCAATCCACGCAGGATGTTCAGAGGCTTATCGTTTTGTTGGAAAATGAAATGGAAAATGTGCAAGGCAGTAAGAAAAGCATCTAATCACAGTGGCTTTGCAGTGAATTGTTGTTCTTGTGAGTATATCAGCTCTCTGTGTGGTCTGATGTGGTTGTAGCAGAGCTTATGGCCAGCAACATAGTCCCACAAACCTCAGTAACTATTTGCACTGACAGTTGTGTCTCACATACTCACATTCAGAGATTCTTTTGTGAAAAATGAGTAGCTGATTAGTAGCTGAAACATTTTTTGTTGTTGCCAAGACTAGATAGTTTATTAGTCTGCTTCATTCTGAGATAGCAAAGCATAGTGTATTTGAATTCAGTATACTGAGCAAGTTACTTTAAAACTGGGGCACAGATGAAGCAGTAAATTCCTTCCTATGACTCTGGACACGGTAAATGACTTTAAATTAAATTGAGTTACTTCAAAGCAGTCGATTCAATTCAGTCTGAATGCAGCTATAGTTAGTATAGTAAGTTCTGGCAAATGCTTGATGAAAACAGCCGATGATCAGATAACTGAAAAGAAGCAGGTTGACAGGAAAATTAAACTAAAAGCAGTCTGACCCCTTTTTTCCAAGAAGGTTGAGAAAGCCTAAATCGAAATCATATCACATCACCTTCTACTCCTTACATTTTAAAAACACAGTTGTTTTTTGCATCATGGATGCATGTTTTCTAAACATAAAGACTGCCGCACATCACACATGACAGCCAATAACATGGAAAAAAGACAAAAACTACATATCAAGATGAAACAGACAAGTACTATTTACGTTTATACTTTGAATACATTTCAGAGCCTGTACATTTTCACTTTTACTTGAGTAAAGAATGTGTGTACTTTTTCCACCTTTGCCATCTTACACTAAATATACAATATTCAACAGGTATTCATTGCATCTGCAAGTGAGTAAACAAATAAATACATTTTAACTGTATATCATAAGAGATTATCTTACTTCATTAGTTTACATCACAGGCTTTTTTCTGGTTTTAATTAGGGACTGTAGTGAGCACAGACAAAAGTTGACTTCCAAAATTGAAAACCAGACGTCAGGTGTCCTGCTTTCTGAGTGACAGGCTGATCAAAGTAGAAGCATCATTACGTTGCCACAGACAATCCTCTGTATTAGTGTAGTCTAACCACAGTAATGCTTTGTACAGCTGAGCAATATGAATCTGGTTTGGTGTCCATCCATTTAGACTGTGAGCAGGTGAGTTGACATACACATGGCACAGCAACATGGCAGTTTCTTGGCATCTTTTCAAGGCACCCCACTGTGGCATGCATATGCTTGTGTATGTGTGTGTGTGAGTGAGTTATTGAGAAGTGTATCACCATTTGCCACAGAGTCAAAATAGACCTGAGCCCAGGATGATGGTAATGAGTGCTAAGACTGATTGAGAAAAAATAAAGATGACACCACTGTGGAAGAGTCGGATAGGCCAGGATCTAAGCCAGCATCTGAAAGGACAGAGACAGCAACTAATCTGACTCTAATGAAAAGTAATTCACTGTGGGCAGATTAATTTATTAACTCGTAAGGAGGCAGGGCACGGTTGAGGCGTTGCAAGCTCTTTCTTTAGAAAAATCTCTTTAGCTCTGTCTGTGTTGTCTCAGACTTATTTTCTCTCTTCCCGTCTTGCTCATCTTCCTATTTCCAGCTATAATTCAGAGGCTGAGTACTGTGTTCCTCTGCCCTTCTCCTTTCTCCACCCTGAATTTTCCATTCCCTCAGTGTCACCACTCTGTCCCTGGATCATACACCAGGCAATGAATAGACCAACCATGTTTTGTTGACATTTATAAAAGTTTTTGTAGCTGACTGTTTACCAGATATTTCCACCATATTGACAGGAGGGCACAGAGCAAACATGATAAATAAAAAGATGAAACCCAGGTCCAAAAAATGCCAAAATGCAGCAGCATACCAGTGCAGAGGCCGTGGCATTCACCGTCTCTAACTTTTATTCCATCCATAAAAATAACACTTAAGCTAAACTTCTTTTAGCTGATCCCAGAGTAGTAAGAGGGCCAGTCCCTTTCACTCTTCTTCCCTCATGGGGGATCTGAGATCAGCTCCAGGCCAGTCGCCATTAGTGAGACTTCCCGGGGTGAAGTCCAAGAGCATGAGGAGCCAAAACAAGCCTGCTGCCATGATCGAGATCTGAAAGTAGCAACATGTGAAAGAATGCCTTTTTCCATCCAAGCCTCTGTCTCGTGACCCTGGAACCTTGTCTCTTCCTGGCTTGCCTGCCTTCTTGCTTACTTGTGATTGCGTGAATTTGTGTGTGTGTGTATGTGTGTGTGTGTGTGTGTGTATGCATGTCCTTAGTGTGATCCTGTCCCTCTGCTCCACGATCTCATGGGATAGGATCTCTGGGAGCAGGCAGCTGTGCATGATCTCAACTGGGAAAGCAACAACTGGAGGATGGACACTGTGGTGTGGTCTGTGGAGACTAAAACGGGTCACTCTGACACAAAAAAAAACACAGGCTATATACATAATGCATGCACACACGTAGACACAAATAATGTGGTCAGGCCCACGCAAGCACAGCACAAAGATGAAAGAATGAGGAGAAGATTTCCCCCAATAAAGAGCGGCATTTGTAGTGGATGTGCAATATCACATTCTTCTGAGACATTCAAATATGATGCAGTAAGCACTGCACAGCCTAGCATTGTTGTGACCTTTTATTTTATTCTACGTCATTTCTTATTAACATATCAAAGGCAGTCAACAGTGATGGACATAAACAGGACACATCAAGACCTTGCTAAAGGCTAAAACATTGAAAGGTCAGTTATGGCGCACTGCTTAAATGCTGTTGGTCCCGTAACCTTACAGCTATCAGAACAGGTCACGTGTTTTATAGCCCTCAAAGGGTTTGTGGTTAGAATATGCCCCCAAAGAGGAGGCCCTTGGCTTTGGGGGATTTGGCCTAGTGAGCTGAGGGTTTGGCTAGGCCTGTGGGTGATGGAGAGGCAGCTGTTTACTTGGAGAGAAGCTCTGCTCTTCCCTCCCTCCTTCTCCTCCTCTTTATCCCTCTGCTGTCTGACACTCCCACTGTAATGAAGGGCCCTGGTAAAACCACCCTGATATTATAGCACTCTTTAGTCCACACAAACACTCAAGCACACGCACATACACCCAAGGTCAATTAAACAGATGACTTTCATGTGAGGGCTTGGGTTGCATGGCTACGAGGTGACTTTAGTATCAAGTTACACAGAGCTGATATGCTTTTCATGCTCTGTCTATATTTGTTGTTGGTCTTGGATTTTTTTCCGGGAATTTGCCTTTTTTTCTCTGAAGTGAATGAAATTTACCTGAAATAATCAACAGTGTTTCATAATTGTCTGTGAATAAGTGTTTGTGTGTGTGTGTGTGTGTGTGTGTGTGTGTGTGTGTGTGTGTGTGTGTGTGTGACTCAGAGTTCGGATGCAGGCCAGACAGAAAAAGGCACCCAACTGCATTATGAATGAGGTTTGGCTCTCGTAGGGCCAGCATTGGGTTTCGTAGTTCGTTAATCATTAAGAATGGGCATGGGTGGGGGGCACTGGTGGTAGACGGAGCCATCCTGCCTAAGTAACCCTTACTCCTGATCTCTCACACACACCAACACACACACATGCACAGACGCATGAAAACATACCCACCTACAGTACAAACTATCATACCCACACAGTCAATATGCCAGGCCTGTGTTAAAACTGTTATTTTTGCTGGAACAGTTTGTTGATGACTTGCAGCTCACAATAATGCAAGCCTCTGTAATCTATTTACCTTGGTTTAAATTGCACCGCTTTCATTCGACATTTAAAATACACAAAGCGTATCCAACACTGCATAATGTTCCACCTACACACAGGATTGATTACAGCAATAACTCTGTTGTTCTGCTTTTAACTTTACATTTTATATAACAGCAAAAAACTTACTTGTGTGGTTCCCAACCCTGATCACTTACATTCTTTGTATAACAAGGAACATTAGCTTACATAGGCACTCATAAGTATAATTCCTTACAGACTAATTCCACAATAAGATATTTTTCATATTTCTAGAAGCTATTGCAGATTAGTGAAAATTTCACAATTAAGGAATCAGGATGAACTTTGACTCTCGCGGCAAACAAGCGGAAGTTCTTTTAGTCTGAATTTGAATGAGTCTGTATTAAATCCTACGGCTTTATCAACAAAACCTCTCCCCGTGGACTGCATACTATACATAGCTTTAATTTCCTGAAGTGGATTAGGGCAATGCAGACACACCAGGCTATACTGTAAAGCATCTGGACTGAGTTATCTCCCTCTGCTGACCTCTCCCAGTGAATAATGCCTTCTTCTGTTTGGCTATGAGGCCAGCTAGCAGGGAAGAAGGTCAGTTAACTGCCTTATCAATGTTTAATTAGACTTACAGCATATCCCTAGTTTCTGGAGAATCAAGTAACTCAGTGGAACTCTCAGGACAAGAAAAATGTTGCAATTTGTGTCTGTTACTGCTAGATCTACAATGAATCTTTCACACTTTTAATTTTAGTCAGACAGACAATGAAATACTGTGGCTTTAGAGGCCCCAAGGGGTTAGTCTCGAGCTGAACTTGTTCTAAGGGGGATGAGTGTAAGAGACATTCACTGTGGTATGAGGTGAAGCAGTGACTGGATGGGATGGTTTGGTATGGCAGACCTCCAGGCCATCGCGGATCATGAAAACCCTCATTACTATTTGGCCATCCACCTCTATTCCTCCCCCCTTGATTTTAACTAAAACCACATGTTATGGACGCTGTGGATTCTGGGTTTGTTTCTCGTCATTGTAATGAAGTCATGTGCATGTGTATGCGCCTGCCTGTGTGTGGGCAAAATTCAACAACAACACTGGAGAGAATTACTTTAGCTTCTCCGTCATTTTGCCTTCCTGCACTTGCAGGTACAAGGTCTGCAATCAACTAAACCAGCTCAGTCTGCAATGTGGCAAAGTAAGGACATTATGAGTCACAACCCTCTCCAAAGAGCACATATCCTCACATTGCACTTTGATCCAGGCCATGTTTATTGACTCCTCAATGCCATATAGAGTCAGAGTCAGAAATATTCGTAATTTTTCTTTTCAACAAAGCATCTGTTTGACAAACGCTCTGTGCAGCCAGCAGCTTTGCAGCTGGAAACTTCCAATGTGGAAAGAGAGAGAATTTTGATCTTGGACAGCAGTGGAATGGAAAGCACTCACAATGGCATTTTCACCAGAGATGATGCAATGGAGTAGCCAGAGCACCTCTGGAGTTATACATTATCATACAGTCACATAAAAATCACAGGGTGGAATATATCACGGCCCCTATGGATTCATGTGACAAAATGATAAAGCATGTGGGAATCCTTAAAAGGAAATTGAGCAGTTAAAGTCAATATTTGTTTTCTTCCCTAAAATACCCCTTGTTATCCCTTTAATACCATAATCCAGTGGGGCTTTTCTATTGCCTGCACTCGGTGCTACATCCTGTGGAGTTTGGAGAAGAGCCTGCTGGTCCCTGCTGATGGGGAGAGTTCTGAATACCCCACCCAAATTTAGGGGGTCTCTTTTCAGCCAACACCCATTGCTTAGTGAATACCAAAGTCATTGCATATGGGAGTGGCTGACCAGAAACATGTGTCTGTAAATGTACATGTATAAACAATGTTCTGTGATGAAAAAATAAAAAGTAACAGTCATACAATCAAAAACAGTGAACAATAGCGAGAGCACAGGAAAAACTGAGAGGTTGCTTAATGATATTTGGACTTCATGTCTCTTCATGCATAGGCAGAGGTATCTGTTTCCTATTTCTCCCTTCGGAAACATTTCTATAAGATGAGACCACATCAGTGAAAGATCGGCTTGAAAGCTTCAAAACGCCCTAGAAACATATTAAACACGTGCCCGTCCCTTTACACACACACATACACATACACACATTGGAGGTGCTATGTTTTCTTCCTGTGATCCACTTTATTTGTAACTTAAATTAAAAGGAACTCTTTTTAACCAATTATGGTATATACAGTAGGAAATAAAAAGTACTTCCGTCTGCAAGCGCTTTAGATTGGTTTGTCTGATCTACACAGCAGACCGTGCTGTCCACATTCTACTGGGAGTGGTTAGCGATGTGGTTTGACATAGCATAGCTAGTTTTTTTCAGGGGAACTTTTCTTCACCGCAGAGTTTAAAGACAATGAAGTCAATAGTAAAACACTTTATTGTTTGAGTTATGTACTTTTTGGACTCCAAAATGTGTTCTTTGATTTTTCTCCACGTTGCATATGACATTTATTCTGTTTTTTCTTTGCTTCTCTCTTTGTTTTTTGTAGATGAAACACGACCTCTCTCACAGTTAAATGGGCCCCTGCTGGCCCCGGGGCCCCTTCCCCTTCTCACCACCCCACCTACCCCACCCATGGACTCCCCCGTGCCCTCAGTATGCCCCCTCCTGCCCACCCCCACTCCTCCCCTGATCCCCTTCCTCCTCCTCCCAGGCTGCGGCATCGGCAGTCGCCAGTCAGAGCAGCCCGGATCTGGACCCTGGTTTCAGGAGCCGCCGGCACCAGTCATCCCTCCAGCAGCCCGTCCAGTCCAGAGACAGAGGAGACCAAGCCAAGAGCTGCTGTACTGCTCACTGTGCAAGTGGGCTGTCAAATTCTTGTCACAGCTGGAGGCACAACAAAGTGGGTTAATTGTGAGCTTCTGATACTTGAAAGTCTCTGCAATTACTCCTGCATTTGCCAGCATTAGCTGGCATCCAGAACAATGTGGATTAACTGTGGATGTCGTTCCCCTCGGAATCTCTGCTGATGACTTTCTTGAAGTTGAAACTTTCTTCCCTCAAGTTTTTCAGCTCATGGTTGGATTCTTCTCTGTTGGAACTCAACTGTTGGTAACTCAAAACCACACACCAGCCACCGTCTGATGTTTCTCTGCTGGGCAACTAGAATCTCCACATCACATCCTGTGTGTAAGA